ATCCATAATACATGATATATATATATATATATCCATAATACATGATATATATATATACATGGATATATATATATGTATATAGATGTATGTATGTATGTATGTATGTATGTATGTATATATATATAGAGTATTATATAGTATGTATATAATGTAATATGATACAATGCAGTGTAATACAATACTGTATAATATAAAGTATTCGTGATGAGTCCTCGACATCCAGGACTCATGGTGGACAGGAAGCTCTGCAACCTTGCAACGGACAAGAAACGAGACTTCGGCAGCTGCTGCAGCCGCTGATACGATTTTATGCTTGGGTGTTGTATCGCTGCCCTTTGGCTATCAGCTTTACTGCAAAGGCGTCTCGCCTGTGCCTGTTTGACATGAGCACTCGCAGGCCAGCAACGACAACTTTTATGTAGCTTGGCAGTCAGACCAAGCCGACCGCCACAAGCCTTCTCGGTTTGAAGGCATGTCTGGACAACTGCCAGACGCAGGGCTTGCCATCTCACCCTTGGTGCCTGCATGGTCCTGGCTGCGCAAGAAATGGCAGCGGCCCTAATGAATGCTCGAAGTAGCATCGTACATTTATTGTAGACATGATCTTGATGCCAGCAAAGATTTCTCTGTCTCTGAAGAGGAGCAATGCGTTCGGACCTTCCTGTGAGGCGATCTGCTCTTCAAAAGCTCTTTCTGGCTCTCGCTGCAGCAGGCAGGAAGCTTCCCAAGTGGAAGGAGGCGCTGCCGAGCTTGTGGAACGGAAGTCTCCTGTGAGGCCTCTCCATGCTGGTGTGCGCCCGACAAGAGAAAGCTGTCTGGACTTGTTAGCTTTTCGCATGTCCAGGTTTCAGAAGCTATTGGTGTTTTTTCCCGATTCCAGCCAGCACTGCCAGGGAGCCTCGCGCAAGGTACCAGCGGCTCAGGCGGGCGATCCGTATGAGCAGGCTTGTCGACGAACAGCTCGAGAGGCTTCCGCCTGAGCTCAGGAAGAGATTGGGAGATTCGGGGAATCGCGATTCGCTGCACACAGCGCAAGCAAGCTGCCAGGTGGACGAAGAAGGGGCCGGCCAAAGAGCCAGTGGTGGAATGTGAGGCTGCTGTTATAGTATAGCCTGTCGAAGGAGCGACGGTGTGAGCTGTCTTCAATTTGTGTTTGCAGGTTCCCGTCGAGCATGGCGCGACAGGGCAGGATGTCGATCTGGATGTTGTGGAGGTGTGATACCGAGCCGTTTCTCTGCGTATCGGTCTCATCCGGCGCACGCTGCAGCTCGAAAGCTGTGGCGTAAACATGTTTGAAACTATTTGAAACATTCTGAAACTGCCTGACTGAGCACGACCATGTGCCCAGAGGATCCGAGTTTGCACGGTTTCATGTCGGCTCAAAGCTGTTAACGACGGGGTCAGTGCATGGGGGAATCGACGGGAAATACCATCGCTCTGACCAGCAGCGGTGAGCTTGTCCTTTTTTCTGAGGGAAACGAACGCAGAGCGAGCACGTGGTCCTATCTCAGAACACTGACACTTTGAAGTGACATCTTCGGCACGGACACCTACGGGGAAAGCTGCTGGGAGTTCGACGAGACAACCACGTCCACTTCACACGAGGGGAATGGCAGGGCCGCATGATGCCGCAAGTTGCGACGTGACAACTGATTGATTCTGATTGCCGAAAACGAATTCAAACAATCGCGATGGATATCCATATTCGTACCGGTAGACAAACGTCGAAATACGCAGTGTTCGAGCAAAGCTAGGAGGACTCAGGCATCGCTTGGCGGATTTCCAGTCCTGCCATGCGCTGTCTGCTTCATGCCTGATAGTGTCGCTGAAGAAACATCTAGAGGGGTCTGTGACGTTCTGCGACGTGCGTTAATCCGGCACAGGTCCCTGTGGGCCTTGCCTTTGAGTGCGAGCGAATCAGGCGAGGCACTGAGTGTGCGGTGCATTCCACGCGCCATGACGCTCCCTGCAAAAATTGACCGCTTCCATCCAGATTGGCGGAGCACCAGGTTTCCAGGATGCAGAAGCTATTCATGGGACGTCAGAACCAAACTTCTTGCAGAATCTGAGACGGAGGCAGCAGCTACGCCAAAAGTTCGGCTGCGAGTCTGATGCGGAGATGGTCGAGGCTCGACCCCAAGGAACCCTCGAGAGCAACACACAGCCGCACGGCCCGTCGTCAGACTAAGGCGCTTCTGGGCCACTTCAAGGAGTGTGAGGGCATGGTCCCCGAGGAGGAGGCACGATCAGTTCCGTCACACTTCCGTCGCTTCGGCTAGAGCCTGGGCTTCCTCAGCTCTTCCGGAGGCTTTGCTGCAGCTGCCTTGGATAGACGTTGCTGCTCTGGCGCAACTCACGTGCGCACCTCAGCAAAGGAAGGAAAGGGAAAGGAGGGTCTGTTACGTCCACAGAGGCTCGCGAGACCAGATCATACCTTGGGGAGGGTCAGCTTTGGCAACCTGATTCGAACTAGTCCTGGAGCAGCCGTCTTTGGTTCTTCGAGGTATTGGTACGACCGGCGGCCCCGGGAAACCGAGGAGGTTCAGGACGTTCCAAAGGAGGCGAGCTGGACACGAGAGCTGTTGACAGTCAATGAATGCCTGATCCTTGTGCCAATGGACTCTCCTGCCAGCTCAGAACAAACAAACAAGACAAACGAGACTTCTACTCGGCTCCCCTCTCTCCGTTTGACAGGAGCGAAACCGTGATGCCAAGTACGGACGGTGGACGAAGAAGATCGGCCGAGAGAAGGCCCCCCCCCATGCGGTGCTCAATAGTCGATGTACGAAGCCGATTCGTGTGGAAAATCACGAGGCGAGTGTAACTTACAGTCTGCACTCCATTGACAATGTTGACAGGTGATCTACTCTTCTGTCGGACTCAAATCACGGGTCCGCACCCGGGGACACCTCGGCGCGAAGGCCAGAGGGGTCAGTGCTTCCCTTGCCTCCGAGAGAACACCTTTCCATCGCCAGGTGTTTCGACGACCGGCCGGTGTAGACGTGGCGAACCTGGCATCCGGAGACTGAAGACTTCGCACATAAGACGGCTCCCCTTTCGGCTTTGAGGTCACGCGGCTATCGACTCTCCAGCGTGCGGCATCTCTGTGCGGTCACGAGCCGCTCCTGTCTCTTGTAGAGGCCGAAGGGAAAAACCGTAGCCTTGCTTAGCAGTGATGCGATCGCAAGGCGCAAGGTGATTCCAGAGATGCTGGCTGATTCGTAGTTACATGATACATGGTTGCAGCTCTGACTGGATGAGTATCGTCTGTCCAGTCCACCATGGACAGCCTGCGGCCGAAGAACGTCGCTCGAATCGCTTGGTCCGAGGTGGAAAGGCTGGGACCTCTTTCGTCAGTGCGGATACGGATGTCACACGTCGAGTCGGTCTTTGTGCCTCGACAGAGGCATAACTCCAAGGATGACCTGTGGCTGCTCATTGATGGGAAGGACTTGGGGAGATCCTGAGAGCAGCAGCCGGGCAGACTCCATGAGAGCGGAAGGTCTACGATGTGACATCCTTCCTTTCGCTGCATCCCGGCGGTGGTCAGCTGGTCGTCGATGCTGCAGCGCAGGCCAGGAGTACGGAGTTTTTTGGGAGTGAAGGTATCAGCTTCTGACATCGAGTGCTTTGCACCAGGTCACCGCATCCATGCTCTCATGCGCGCGTATGCAGTGCTGATTTCGGGGCTGGGTTGTGTATCGAATCAGCGAGAGTTTGTCAAACAAGGCACGATGCCAAGCGGCAAACGCTGTACCGCAGGATGCCACCTCCTTGTTCGAGAGGACGCACGGCGAGGGGTTGAGGTGGGCCACGTTGTTAGCCCACTGCTCCTTCGAGTTGCCTGAGCTTGGCTGCGGCAGCTTGCGTGATTGTAGCTTGTTTATTGCATTCATCGAATTTGCATGGCCAATTTGCTCAAGGCCGCAACCACATTACAAAACAGCCAATGTTGAACACACCAGTGCCCTGCTACACCGGTGTTCGATATGACGATCCAACAGGTTGGTGCCAACTGCAAAAGCAGACTAAATAGACTAAGAAGTCCAGATGTCTAAGTGATGACATCGCTTCAGTTCACATGGCCCAAGGGAAGGGCAGTTCCTGTCTTCGATCTTCGCTCTTGTGCCTTGGACGTGACCGGCAGCCACGGTCTGTCACACGACCCGATGTTCCGTGTAACCCCCCACCCTTGCCTCGGTCAGTGCGCTGCATCAGGGGCGTGTTTGCCTACGTCCTGGGGGTGTTGACTGTGTCCTGGCGTGAGATGTACCAGAAAAACGCCTGGGGTTGCAGGGCAGCTTGCAATCGCAGCTCAGGTTTTTTGCTTTGATGCCACCCGCGTCTCGCGACGGGAAGGAGAAGGAAGCGTGGAGCCCTTCGAGACCTCAACCACCCAGGCTGCAGCGAGAGCAGTTGCACATAGTTTGCAGGTGACGCGGCTCCAAACAATTTTTGCGGCTCGTCTGTGCAGGCCCTTCGGACCAGCGACGTGTCGGAACATGGGTCGGAGTTCAGGCGAGAGGGTGCTGGGACGATGGGACAGTTAGCTAGGAGCATCGTCCATTGCGCAGCGCCAGGCCAGGATCGGAAGCAGAACCGCGAACCACGACAGGCACACCAGTGCTCACTACTGCGACGGCAGGCACCAAGGACAACGAGGCAGCCTTGGTCTGATTCTGACCGTCTCGCAGCAGTCTGGTGTTCTTGAGTGAGGACCCACTCCCGTCTCCGGAACTGCTCAAATCTGCACTGCGCGTGCGACACCCTGGGCCTCACGGACTCAAGCCTCTCGGCATTGAAGCAACGATCCACCGGCTGGGCTTGACCCGAAGCTGAGGTTTATCCACATCAGCAAAACAGGCGAGGTCCCTTCTGCATGTCTAGGCCCGGTTCAGAGAGTGGCTCGCTGCTAGCCGGGCCGTGAGGTGGGACCTCCATTGAGCAGTTGGGCATCAACTTGCCTGAGCAGTTGCGCTGGGGCGCATGGGACCGTGAAGAGTACGGCTACCAGCACGGGGCGTTCCGGTGCCTTGCCAGAGCTAAGAAGCTAATCTGGCATGAAAGAAAAATGAGGATCTGCAATGTATTCGATGACTCCTTGGCTCCAGTGCCATCTTGCAAGCTTTATGCAGATCTGTTTTTCAGCATTGCCAGGGCCACTCAATCAGCAACCTTCTGGCCTTATCTGTTGCAGAGGGCTCGTATCAAAGTCTTATGTCCAGGTTCTTTCCGGCGACAAAGCGTGAAAAGTATGATTGGCACCTGGGCTTTGATGAATGCGTGTACGTGTTTGGGGCATGTGCAAGCATCTCGGACCAAGTCCTCAAGTTACGTCGTCGCCGAGGTTTTTGGTGAGCCGAAACCCCGTGGACCGCTTCGTCTCAGAGATGCTCAGTCGCAAATGGGGCCCGAAGAGACTAGACGCACGCCTTTGTTAATTTGTCTTTGTGTGGTTGTAGCTGTGTGTCTAACGGTCCAACCTTTCTACATATCTCTGTATGCATGCAAGCATGCACTGTGGGAGTAGTCGCAGGCATACATGATGCATACATATAATCATGTATATGTTCATGCTAACGGGTCGAAAACTGTCCTGCGTTTCTGTGCAGTTAGAAGCTGATAGAAACGATGATAACGGTGATGATAATGATGCTGATAACCATGATGCTAGCGATGATGATAACGATGGTGAAAGCGATGATGCTAGCAATGATGATAACGATGGCGAAAGCGATGATGCTAGCACTGATGATAACGATGGTGATAGCGAGGATGCTAGCAATGATGATAACGATGGTGATA